CTGCCCTCTGACCTGATCGAAACCCAGCCTGCAGGTCACCCCCCCCACACACACACAGCCCTGTCAGGAGGTGGAGCCCTCCCTTGTGTCTGCTCCACAGCGCCCCAGGGGGCTGGGCGGGAAGGAAGTTCTCCCAGGACTGCGCTCTGCAGGCCAGGGCTGGCAAGACTGCTCTTGGAGTGTCAGCAGGAAGGCTCCCTGAGAGAAGACTTAGTTTACAGACGGACCCCGGCAGAGGCCCCTCGGTCTCGCCTCTGGATGCAAAAAATTTTCCAAGCAAAACTCCACCCAATTGTTTGATTGTCCCGTAGAGAGGGGCCCTCGCACCCTGCTCCAAGAGGGACCCACCTGCTCACGGGGAGTGGAAGCCGACCCACGAGCTGCGCCCCGTCTTCAGCCGCCCCTGCTGCTCAAGACCTTCGCTGGACTCTGGCCCGGCCCCCGGGGCGGCGCAGAAGGCGCCCCAGGACTTGGAAGAGAACACCAGCGCCATCCTTCTCCACTGCCGCCGCCGCTTCCCAGATGTTGCTGAGCTGTTCAGAGTGGGGCTTCTCTGCGCATGAACTTGGCTGGGGGGCAGCCGGTGCTCCTGCTCCTCCCCCCACTGGCAGGCTGTGTCTGGACTGGCGGGGTCTCTTCCCCGTCCCCGGGGCTGCGTCCAGAGGAAGATTAGAAAAGACCAGGCAGTTCGGTTCTTGTTGTCTGTCGCCCGTTTACTGGGCGGTGCAGAGCATGCTGGGCCCGTGTGTGGACGTGGGTTGGCTTGTGTACGTGTGTGGGAGGGGCTGGTGTGTACGTGTGAGGGTGGTGTGCACGGTGGGCATGGGCAGGGAGAGACAGATAGAGTGTGTTGGAGGAAGAAAGGATTCTCGAAGCCAGTCAGACTAGGGGGAGCCCGCCCCCCGGAAGTGTGTTCCTTCTGCTCCCCTGGGGCAGAGGCCCCGCGGGGCGGGAGTGGGTGCATGCCACATCGCTGTGGACACGCAGGCTCCTGGCGGGATGTCCTGCATCCGGGCAGCAGTATGAGCATGGTGAAGGGGCGGAGTCAGAACAGCCTGCCCGCCCCGCTTGCCCCTGAGGTCCAGATCCCCTTAGCCCCCAGCCCGTTCCTGCAGGCCAGGCAAGGTCGCTGCTGGCAGTGTCCACACCACGAAGACCTGAAGCCAGCCCTCTCTTCTCCCTCTCCCCCTTCTCCCCTGCGCCCCTCTCTCCCCTCCCTCCCTCACTCCCCCGTGTGTGTCTCAGATGGCGATTGTGCTGACAGCGCAGAGAGCACCCCCTGGACGCCCACTGCCCAGAGATGTTTGTAGAAACTCTTTGGCCTGCGGCCCCTAGCCCCGTCCCCAGGCTGAAGAGCCATTTCGGTGTCGACGGTTAAGTTGATGGCCCAGGGGGACACTGTTCCCCAGCGAGGTGATGGGCCTGAGGCCCGCTCAGGAGTCCACACCACCCCGTGCTATGGGCACCCTGCCCAGCTGCCTCCCTGGCCCAGGGCCCACCCTCCGTGCCCACCGGCCCCTCTTGCCCAGGCTGCTGCGGCCCCCTTTTCCCGGCAGGAAGGAGCCTCCTGGCTCCCCTCTCAGTCACTAACTCCCCGTCACTCCTCCTTGAACCACTGTCAGCATCTCCAGCGCCACCATGTTTTGTAAGTGTATTACCTCACTCTTGGTAATAGAATACTGATAGTCTTTAAAAGATTTTTTTATTGTTATCCAGAATAAATGTGAACGGTTTGAAGAACAGGTGTCTCCCTGACTGCACATGGTCTGGGAGCCAGGCAGCGGCTCCATCATCGGGGCAGGACGAGCGTGTCCCTGTCCCTGGAAGTGTGGCGGCCCCAGGGGCAGGGACAGAGGCCTCCTTGGAAAGGGTTTTGGTTCTGAGTTGGGGCTTCTGCTGGGCCAATTGACCAAGAAGGACGGGACTGTGTGCTGGGGTCCTTGGGAGCCAGGTGGATGCCCTTCCTCCTGATCCCCACGAGGGCACTGCTGGGACCTGCAGCCCTGGGGCCATGGTGTGGGCAGACCTGGCTGTGCGTGACCTCGAGGACCTTGTAGGAGTTGACCTTGTCTCGGGCCTTCTGTCACAGCTCACCCTGAGTGCCCACACCCCATGCCGTCTCTTCAGCTAGTGGTGGCCTTCCTCCCAGGACCCAGTGTTGACATCCGCCCCGGACGCCTGCTGCCGGGACTAGTTCTGAGGGCCCAGCCCCAGCTCGTGGGGGTTTGAGTGTCAGCGTCACTCTGCCCACCGGCGTCTGCAGTTGCTGGGTTTTGGCAGGACACCACCAGGCTGTTCTCCCAAGGCACCTCAGGGCGTGCTTCCCCTCCAGCCCTGCGGTAGACAGTTAGGGCAGCAATGTTCGCACCACAAGGCCTTCTTTCCCATGAAGCCTCACCCAGTCACAGGGGCAGGGCGCCCAGTCCAGACTGGGACCTCATCTCGCTGCAGGGCCACCTGCCCTCTGACCTGATCGAAACCCAGCCTGCAGGTCACCCCCCACACACACACACAGCCCTGTCAGGAGGTGGAGCCCTCCCTTGTGTCTGCTCCACAGCGCCCCAGGGGGCTGGGCGGGAAGGAAGTTCTCCCAGGACTGCGCCCTGCAGGCCAGGGCTGGCAAGACTGCTCTTGGAGTGTGTGCTAGCGCGCACGAGTTTCCCCATCCACAGGTTCGGCTTTCTGAAGCTAGATGAAACGGCAGCCCTTCACAGCCCAAGAGGAATCAGCCCCGGCCCCATCAGGCCCTGGAGCAGCCAAGGGAGGAAGCTGAGCCCAGAGGGAGCTGAGCCCAGGCCATGTTTCCCAAATCTCTCATTAACAGAGATTCTCCCCATCTCAGTGGCTGTTGGAAGTCACCAGTTGACAGCCTGAGACAGAGATTGGACATGCCCCCCTTGGAGGAGCTGATGGAACGGCCCTCGCTGTCATCAGGCCCCCGCTGCGAGTCAGTGAGGCAGATTGGAAGTGGTCACGTTAATGAGGTGGGAGGCGAGCTTCAGGCTCAGGCTGTGTCTTGAGTCAATCTCTCTTGAGATGTAAAAGAGATGAAGTAAGCAGGAGACAGAGCTGGGAGCGGGGCTGTCATTTGGATCAGGGGTTCCTGTGCTGGGAGCCTCCTAGACCCAGGGGAAGATTGAAGCTGACAGCTGGAGATGCTCACATGCGGAAAGAGACGAGGCTCTTCCCTAGAACGGACAGAAACCGTTCCCCCAGAGCGGTGCTCTCAACGTAGATTTCTAGACTCCTCACCTGCGAGGGAATAAATTTCTGTTCCTCAGAGATACCCCTTGTGGTGCCTCTGTTGGGGCAGCCCTGGAGAGCTGAGACCATTTCTGAGGGACCATATGGAAGCCCTTGACCCTCTCCAAACTCCATGACATCCAAGTGGGTCTGTGCTCTTTGAACCCCAGACGCTTAGGGGTTCATCCTCACTGCAAAAGTAGCTCACCCCGGCCACTCCAAAGGTGAGCTCTGAGGGACGGAAGTCTTGACCTCAGGCTGAGGCAAGAAATGTCCATCTTCTGTTTGTCCCCTGGCTTGGCCTCACCTTCCTGAGACCCCGTGGATGACAGCACCTGGGCTTCCTGTTCCATCGGGGTGTGGACGGTTCTGTGACGCGCCCGTGGTGCTCCTGACGGTGGCTTGTGTGCAGGGAGGGGATGGTGGTTGATGCCATCACGTCAGTCTCAGCGTCCTGGTGAGGGCAGGGCGGGCTGCTCCACAGTCTTGTCTTGAGCTGAGATCTTTACGGAACAGTGAGGACACAGCGGCAAAGCCCTGGGCCGGTAACCGAGAGGTGGGCAGTTCAAATCCCCATCCGCTGCACGGGAGAAAGAGGAGGCTGCTGATGCCGGTGGGTTTTAAACAGGACACTAGATCCTGGGGCTGCATCCACACCCCGGTCACCAACTTTTGGGAACCCTCTTGTGAAACCCTTTAGGGGCTGCGGGTGGTGGGGAGAGCCCAGCAGGTTCCCTACGGGACAGGGCCAACTGGTGGCTGCCGAGGACCAGTTTATCAGGAGCACTGAGCCCCCCGCTATCTCCGTCACAGCTTGGGTGCTATTAGCTCCACTGCCGACGCCACCCCAAAACCAAGCAAACGCACTGCCATGGTCGATTCTGACTCTCGGCACCCCTGTAGGACAGAGGGGAATTGCTCTGGTGGGTTTCCGAGGCTGTGAACCTTGACAAGCCTCATCTTTCTCCCAAGGAGCGGCTGGGGGATTCGAACTGCTGACCTTGGGGTCATAACCCACTCTGCTGCCAGGGCTCCGGTGAGCTGTAAATCAGTGCCTGGGTGCACATGGACATGAGGCCTTCTTGGCAGGCTGCATGCCACCCCCGGCCCTGGTGCCAGCCAGCTGCCAGTCGCCAGCCCCTGCGTCAGCATCTGCGTCAGCCTGCAGTCAGCTGTGGCCATGCGGCTCAGCCAGAGGCTGTTCACGTGGAACAAGGCAGCCCTTGTGTGGGTTTCTGTGCTTTTCTGCCTTGTTCTTAAGCCCTGGGCGCTTCCCAAGGAGCTGCGTGGTTCGGAAAGTCACCTGGGGGAGCGGAAGCAAAGAGGAGCCCAGGGAGCAGGCAAGCACGGCCAGCCGGTGCTTACTGGCGTCCCTGCAGGCAGCAGCTGCTGTCTTGGTCACATGTATTCCCATGCGTGGAGCGTTTGCCGGGCAGATGAGTTGGCCAGGACCAGGCAGCCTGGTGCTTACCGAGCCCCCGGGCCCTCTGTCCCTATCGGGACAGTTCCTCAGAAGAGGCTTTGAAAGAACAGCCTGGAACACATCTCTGAACTCATTGCCGACACGAGTCAGTAAGCACAAGTGCACCGTGCTTACCAGGCTTGCTGGGTCATCTGACCTGAGAAGTGGGTCTGCTCGGCCAGTATCTCAGCTGTGCTTGGGGTGGGACTTGGAACGAGGCTGCCTCTGGGCCCGTGAGGTCAGGGGACCAGGGTGGGCGTGGGTGGGGCCTCACTGCAGGTTTCCGAGGCAACCAAGCTTCATAAAGCAAACAGTTGTAGCATCACTGCTGTCACCACCAGCTGGCTGGTTAGTGGACCGACTCCTACTGGTCCCCCGTGCAGGGCAGAGCTGCCCCATGGGGCCAAAGTGCTCAGCCGCTGACTTCTACCATCAGGGGTTCAAACCCACCAGCTGTTCCCGGGGCAGTCTGCTTCTATAAAGATTGATTGATAGCCTGTGGGCCAGGCAGGTCCGCTCTGCCCTGTAGGGCCCCTAGCAGTCAGAATTGGGTTTACCTGTGTCAGGTCAGCGATAAAATGCCTGTGCGCGTGTGCGTGTGCGTGTGTGTGTGCGTGTGTGTGTGTGTGTGTGTGTGTGTGCGCGCGCGCGTGTGTGGATCAACCCCATCCTAAGGATTGAGTTTACCACAATGGGCACCAATAGGTGCACAGACCCATTCATGCACTTGGATTTCATAATCCGAGAATGATCAGCCGCTCCGCAAAATATGCAAATCGGGGAAGAATTGCATGCAAATGAGCAGGAGGGGGGTTCTATTTTGAGCCTTGTTCTTTCTCCTGCCTCCCACGGGAGGGTGATGGAGCTGAAGCAGACCGTGACGGCGCTTAGCTTCCTGGCATCCTGAGGCCCCTGGGGTCAACAAACCAGGGGTGCGCACACCAGGCGTGGGGGCGGGGGCGGACACTGCTCAGATGGCCCCAGTCCCAAGGCCCATGTGTCCTGGGGGTGCTGGCAGGCTCTTCTGTCCGGAAGCCTGGAGTCTGGCGTGCTGAGCCCCAGCGTGCATGTGCAGGGGCTGTCCCACCAAGCTCTGCTGCACAGGGCCGCGCTCCTCCAGGCCCTTCAGTGACGGTTTGTCTCCCATTGGGGCTCAGGGGGGTGGGGGTGGGCCTCAGAATCGCCTGGGCTCACCAAGACCACGAGTCATGCCCCACATCCAGTGGGCGCTCATCTGGGCCTTGTAAGAGGCTGCCCAGTGGTCCCCTGCCCTCAGCCAGCCCCGGACATAGGAGGCCATGAGCTTGGCCACAGCTGGTCAGTCCCAACACCACCAGACAACCACTGGGCTCAGGCTCAGGCCCCCCCCACCCCCTCCCACTCCCCCCCACCCCGCACCTATTTGTCCTTGCCCCCTGGCAAAACATCACATTTCTCTCCACCACCTCCAGGGGCCACAGCACCCTCCTCTCTCCCTCAGGCAGCCATGCTCGTTCATGCTCCCCAGCATAGCCAGGGCCTCTCTGTCCTGCCAACCCCATTCAGCCTAGCCCAGAGTGACCACCTGTGGCCTGGGTACTTGAGAGACAAGCTGGTAAGCATAAAGATCATTTTAAATCCACTCTCTCCAGCTGATAGGCTCTGGGGATGAAAGGGGTCTTCTGGCATGCTTGGGGGACCTGGCGCCTCTCTGTGCTCCTTGGAGTGTCCCCGTCCAGTGCTCACAGGGTGGGTCCTGGGGGACGGTGCATGTGGTGCCACCTCTTGCCAGTGCCTGTCCCCCAGCACACGCGTGGGGCTTTCGGTGTGGCCACCACATCAGAGTGACACATGGGTTCTATCCGGGGGTACTCTCAAGCCCCTGCCCTGTGACGCGCGCACACACGTTCGTTACAAGTTTTGGCTCAACCAAACTTGCTGCATGGAGTCTAAAACTGCCCTGTGGGTTTCCAAGATGAAAGCCCCTTACAGGAGCAGAACATCTCTTCGCTCCGAGGAGTGAACCACTGACCTTGCAGGTAGCAGTCCCACGTGT